CATTTATATTCAAAATAAATCTTGTCACAATGGACAATGAACGAATTTTAAATATTATTTCTTTCACGATTTTCCGTACTTTTTCTAAGTTAAATCGAACGCGTTTTTCCGAGGCAGCTTCGCGAATTTTATTACTCAAACTGACTCATTGGTACTGAAGACTTTAACGCAAACTGGACTGTACTGCTAACAACTGGCAACTCAACTGACAACTAACTAGCAACTGCGGTATTTATATTAAAAAATCCCCCCGCAAAGTATTATTAATTATCCCCCAGAAACGTCAATAGGCGGTCGTTTGACGATCAATCAGACAATCCCATTGGCGGACCTAAATATTATTAAAAATAATGATGCAATATCCTTGAAATTTTTATCATTTTAAGTTTAAAAAATCGAATAATTATGTCGCAATATACTGATTTATCGAGGTCAAAATATTATTGGTTCAAGAATGCCATAAATCATCAAATTAATTAATTGGCCTCGCTCGTTTAAGTTCATTGATTTAGGAGATGACACAGGCTTGATGACGTAACACCTAATATAATATTAAACGTTAATTTGTTCCGTTTTCAATTTATTGATACTGATTTGGAGATACCGGAAATTAAGTTTTTGATTATTTGATAATTATTTAATTTTTACAGTAAAGACATTGTGATTTATGGGTCTATTTTCTCGGATCATTACACCGTCTTCTCCTGGCGCTGTATCCTTTTTTCCTTGGGGGAAAATATCAAGCTCCTCTATACCTAATTCAATGCACTCTTTTTTAATCCGTCCAATCACCAATACCTCTGGATTGTCGCTGACAAAGGGAGGAGCTAGCGTATTCAGTAGGTCTGTCTTATCTGTGTATTTAACTTCATTCACTATATTGTTTGAAAATGTCTTTAACTACCCTCCAGACATACCCGATTGCTGATTCTGTACTAAGTGTTTCTGTAAACTTTCTAAAGCCATCTTTCTTTTTTTGCTTTAGGATTCATCTTGTTCTGGCTTGTATATTAGAAAATTTTCTAAGGTCATGTATCTCAAATACATCCTCATCGCCTCTTGTCTTTCAACTGTCATTCTGTTACAATCTTCATCCCACCAAATTGGCTTCGGGACATATATTAGTTTTTTCTTGACCATAAGACTCTTAGGATAGCTTCTTCCACTGCCTGATGGATTTTATCGTTAAATGCCTGATAGGTATGAATATCCTCCCTATCCTTTTCAAAAAACCTGTCATATTTATTCAGTCTGCTTTATCCGTTTTCCATTTTCTTAATGGCTTCGTTTCCTATTTTTCACCTATCAATTGTTTTCTAATGCAGCGTATACAGGCATACCAGTTACAACTTGTTCCTTGTTCCCAGGTCCTGCGATATGATTGTTATGTCTGGAAAACTTTTATTTTGATTTGGTGGGGTTATTCTAGTGCTATTACCCTCATTTATAATTATTATTTATTGAATTATTGTCACTAATATATTCCATCAAGTGTCTGCCATTGAATTTATTAATCTGTGAACCTCACAGACTATATTGAGCATTTAGATGATGAATGGAGCTTGTATTCCTCCAAAGGCATTGTGGATGTTGTTTGGGGAAAATATGACATCTGGCATAGAGTACACCATGACAATAGTAACTTTTTAAATTTTGGGTCGATGTTATTATTCATGTTACATTTAGTATGGGGTATGCCTTCTTTGATCAAGATAGCTATACCTCCTTTTCCATCATCTGTATCCAATCTGTTGTACATAGTATTTGACTTTCAAAGCATTGTTTGCCTTGAGCCATGTCTCATTAATCAATAAAAAATCCGGGTTTTCGTTATTTATTAAGATAATCAGATCGCTGAAGTTTTGTTAAATATTCCATTGGATTATTTCATTTTCATGTTGGGTTTGTTCATAATAAAATTCATCTACATCAGCGTATGCATCTTCCAAAAGGTATTGACTGTCTAAATCGTGATCAAATCCCCCAGATTCCTGGGTTGAATCCTGGATTTCTTCCATAATTGCATCTCTCAGCTCCTGGGGCAAAGGTGTCTTACCAATAAGTTGTTTTACAATCTCTAATATCGGTGTTGGCTGGAATGAGTAGGCACTATACCAACTGGCGAGCCTTCCCTTGTACTCCTTTGAGTAAGCGTTCTAGTAGGAGCAGAGATCAGACTTTTTTTGTGCATTTCTCTGCCGTACCCTAGCGAACAGGGATTTTTTTCTTTTCAGGTTACATGCAGCCACAGAATATGATGGTTTCCTTGGAGTTGTAGGGGTTGATATGTATAAATGTCTCTGATTCACTCCATTTAGTCTACTGGCTTCTAAAGCTCTTCTTGTGGGATTGAGAACTGGAAAGTCTCTACGATCCAAGTTCCCTCTCTGTCCTATATTTTTATCCCCTTTCGGGTTTTCTGTTATCATTGTAGTTTTAATTGCTTTTTGTCTCAGATACTCCTCGCATTATCTTTCAGGGGTTTTATGTTTAATATTGCAGTATAAGCAATTAGGTGTGATTTGTTCACAGTCCCTTTCTTCGTGCTCTTCCGCACATATCGGACATTTTTGTTTGCCTCGACACTAATTGGCCGTATGGCCATATGTTAAACATTTGAAATGAATTGAAAAATCAATACTGGACTCACATAGACTGAGATCATTACATCAAAGAAATCTAGGTTTATTGACCTTAGAATCAGTTACCTACCCTTGGAATATAAACACCACTGATTCAGTGTTTTAATAGATACTATCATCATTTTCAGTTATTCTTTTCTTTAGCCATCTGGCCTCAGCAACATTTGCAACGAATTTTCGATTTTGTATTCTCGACTATTTCCTCTTCTGATAAGCCTTAGTAAATACCTCTGGCAATTTATAAGTTAAAAACTCGTTTGCACTAAGATATTCAGTAAATTCAATTCCAACTCTGTTTTTACCTTTTCTGGAGATTTTCTCCTCTCCTCCTACTTTTCTATTTCTCAAAAGCCTACAAATACTCATTATGGGATGCATATTAACAATATTATCCTCATTTTTGCTTTCAACAGTAACCATTGTATGAGAATCTCTGAATGTGTATGAAAAATTACTTGTCTTTTTTCTGGCTATATTTCCGCACTAGGTGGGGGCCCCCGAGGTCCCCCTGGCTCTACAATCATGTGGTTGATTTTAGGTTAGAAAAAGGCAAAGCAGGTAAAAGCTATACTTAGGGCAAGCAGGGGTATGAATTTTATTCTGAGGATTTACCCCCATAGAGGCCCCAGATGCACTTAATTATTTTCTCTTCCGCAATTAAGTATTTTCACTGCCTAAACATTTTTATATCCTACTGAACTATTAAAACCATATAATACCTTGGTTACGATAATCATAAACAGGGTCTTAACTCCCAAGGGAGTTAAGGATTTTCATAACTCCCAAGGGAGTTAAGGAAGGGAGTTAAGGATATCATAACTCCCAAGGGAGTTAAGGATTTCCATAACTCCCGCTTTTACGCTGAATAGGTAACACTTTGACAAAAAATAGAAATTTTGAATTATGGCTTATTCCTTTATAAAAATAGACAGAATACAGTAAATTCAGTAGGATATAAAATTATCTATGTACCACGGGAATTATCAGGAGTTAATACCCACGGGCAATTGGTGTCCCTCGGGCCGGAGGCCCTCGGGACACAAACGTTGCCCTGGGGTATTAACACCTGCATAATTCCCTTGATACATAAATAACTATTATTTCGCAAAATTAAATCTAAAATTAGAATATCGAGCTGTCACTCTCTGGCGCCAATCGTCGACTATTTGACAAGTCGTTGGATTGCCTTAATATACAGTGGCTAAATAAACCTTTACATACAGTGGCGACAATAGAGGTCCCGCCGCCATCTTGTTCCCAACCTCGTGTTACTTTTAAATATTAATATATAGGATTTGAATGGACATCTATCATAAAAAATTGAAATCGACGTATTTGATAACCATTATTAGGTCCATCAAATACGTTGTTTTCCATGATTTATGATGGATGTTCACCTAAATCCCATATATTCATATTTAAAAGTAACGAGAGGTTGGGAGCAAGATGGCGGCGTTTTCAATATAAATATATGGGATTTTAGAACCAATCAAAAATAAGACAGTAATTGTCGCCACTGTGGTAATAGAGTCACTGTACCTTAATACAAAACTACGCGCCATCTATCCGCATAATTGCAAACTACTGGTGAGGCAAGGGGGCGGATTACGAACTCTCGATTCGAACCGAAACCTCCATGGATTTTGAACGCACTCCATGCAAATGCATCAGAATGCGTTCGAAATCCATGGCGGTTTCGGTTCGAATCGAGAGTTCGTAATCCGGCCCCAGATGTTCCTTTCAAAAATGTATTTTTTCAATACAAAGGTTATTATTTCAATAAAAATAAGTTTAGTTTCATGCAAAGCTCACGTTTCTGAATAAAATGGTACCAAAAACAACCTACCTTGCGATTTACATAGCCCCAGCAACACAGGATGTTTATTGAACCAAAAAACCCATAATTTTTTTTAGTGTTCAGTGCCAATAATCGAACGCAGAACACTACGAGGAACACTTTTCCGCATTAAAATCGCCCGAAAAACTACAAAATTTTCCGAAAAACCGAGGAGCAAAACGACACGTGGCATATAAAATTGTCAACAAGATGGCCGCCAGTTCGACGGGCATTTACAAAGCCTACTTGTACCTCAGGCATGCGCAAAGCAAGTGAACAAAAAAAAATAATTATATGTAATAATATTGTAAAATTAGTATAAATAAAATAATAATCAACTAAATCCTGGCATGGTGTTAATTATTAATTATTATGAAGCTTTATTTGAAAGAGAAATAAATTGCCGGCAAAACTGGCACCAATTCAATATGGCGACAACGGTCAAAAATCTGTCACGGGTGTTGGTTTTTTATTAATAAACTGCAAAAATACGGAAATTTCAAGCAATATTATTATTTCAGGAGTAACAAGACACGTGGGAGACGCACTTTTATTGGAACGATCGCAACGAACTGGCCGAGTAAACACTTTGGGCATCGCCCCTTGGGGCATCGTCGAGAATAATCAAGATCTAATCGGGCACAATACCGAAGTTCCCTATCATTCGATCTCATCCCCAAGGTAAGAATTATTATCCCAATAACTTTATCTTGCTTATAAAATAAAAATTTTCATGCATAAAATATGTGGTGCCTTTCTCATCATACTGATAGCGAATTCTATTAGAAGAGTTAGTGCGCACTGAGTATATTCGTGTCTTCTTCTACCAGCTTGTATAAGAAAGAGATAAAAATACCTTTATCTGCACTGGTTATATTCCCTATAAGTAGGCTCAAACCAAGATCACTCAACCTAATAGGATTACTTCCCTCAACTGTTGGCGTAAAATCTATTATCCGAGTTCCGAGTTTAAAACACGAATTCCTAAATGTTAAAATCACCTTTTTTACATTTAAAATTGACAAAAAAATTGATGATGGATTGCAAGCATTCGATCGAGGTCTGCGGGTGACGTCACCACTATTACATTTTCCAGTTATTAGAACAAATTGTTGTTGAAACTGAACTAAGACATTTCAAATTCAAATGATTTCCCAAGTTTCGATTATGAACTTGAAATTTGAACAAAATTGATATGCAATAAGTCTCAGTCTCAGAACATCCATACTTTTTAGTTCTGAGAAAAACTCTTCCTGAAATCGACTTGAAAGTGTATGAAATTTACATTTTCTGGTTCCGAGAATAAATCGTTTTTGAAACTAAACTCAGACATTCTAAATGATTTTCAAACTTTGATTATGAGCTTAGAAAATCCACACTTTCTAGTTTTGAGAAAGAATCTTACTGAAATCGACTTGAGAGACTCTAAAACTTAAGTTTTTTGGCTCTGAGAACTAATCGTTGTTGAAACTAAACTCAGATATTCTAAATGATTTCCAAAGCTTGAAATTTGAACAAAATTGACTTGAAAGTTTCAGAGCATCCACACTTTGTAGTTGTGAGAAAGAATTTTGCTGAAATCGATTTGAAAGACTCTGAAATTTACAGATTTTCTGGTTTTGACAATGAATCATTTTTGAAACTAAACTCTAGAGATTCTAAATGATTTCCAGGTTTCGATAATGAGCTTGAAATTTGATCAAAATTGACTTGAAAGTTTCAAAACATCCACACTTTCAGCTGCTTGATAGTGGTGACGTCACCTGCAGACCCTTTCATACCCGAAAATTGGCGAACGTACGTCTTATTAAATGTTAATTTACGATTCTTGGACTCAAACGATTTAAATAAAGTGCCAAAAAAACAAATTGAAAGAATGTGAATTTATTTTCTATAATTTGAGGTGAATTTATTTTTCAATAATCCTTTAAATTGGTTTTCTTTGACCAGGTATTTGAGCCAACATGCCGCATTCCAGTATATCAAAGGCGCTTATCGTCCATTCGCTGTTCCTTTGGGTGTAATCCCTTAGGAATTCGGTTTGCAACGCTACCAGCACCAGCTTAAGAACATTTCCATTGTGCTCGTGCCTAAAATTCATTAGCAAAATGTATTGAATATTAAATTAAACAAGTGTTACCATTTTAATCCAAGCACTCTCATAGAAATCCTGCAATTTTTCTTATTTCCAGCTTCAACCAGGGCTACATTCAAAGGCACCAAGATTTTAATGTCTTCCGGTTTCAAAGTTATAATTTCCTTTTGGACTTTTGATAATCGCCTCTTCATGTAATCCACAAGCTTAACTTTGGCAGAAAATGTTAGTAGGTTTTCCAATTCCTCAGGTTGGCCTCGGTTAATGATGTCTGTTATTTTACACACAGCCCTAAGTATATAAAATTCAACTTATTGAAATTATTTAAAAAATTTAAATTGTACCGAGTTGTGCCATAAATGAAAGCTCCTTCAGAAAAATCAGGATCCCAACACTTTTTCAACGCCCTAAACTTCCACTTGTTTCTGATCCATCTTAGAACTTGGGGCACGTAAATCAGATCCGGGGTTTTCGGGTAGATGCTTCTTTTAGAATGGGCGAATCTTTGTTGAAGCTCTAAAAAACTGGTGGTCTTGATGATGGGTGCGAGATTGTTTATTAGGGTATTTTTGATAAAGGTTTTCAGTACGAACATTTCTTTGTGACTATGAATTTTAAATTTTGAATGGGTTTAGAATGTTGAGAATAATTTTGGAATGGGCATGATGAAAACGAAAAATTTTGACAGAGAATAGATGACAGAAGGTACCACCAGGACCAATACTGGTACTAGAAACTTCAAAAGGAACTTGAGGAAAAAGCAATAAAAAGAGAAGAAGAGCTACCAAATTTCACATGCAAATTATCGCTCATCATCAATAGGTTTTTGATAAATGTTCAAATATCTGGAAATTTCAAATTTGAAAAAATTGGAAGTGATTCTGAGGCTCAAAAAATGTATTCCAAATATATTTCAGAAGCTCCTTGGAACAAAAGTCTATTTCAGCAAGATTTTTTCTCAGAACTAGAAATTGTGACTTTCAAGTCAATTTTGTTCAAATTTCAAGCTTTATAATCAAAACCTGGAAATCATTTAGAACGTCTGAGTATAGATTCAACAACGATTTGTTCTCAGAACCAGAAAATGTAAATTTCAGCAGTTGATTTCAGCAAGACTCTTGCTCAGAACTAAAAAGTGTGGATGTTGAGACTTTCAAGTCAATTTTGTTCAAATTTCAAGTTCATAGTCAAAACCTGGAAATCATTTAGAAGGTCTGAGTATATTCTTAATAACTTGTAAGTTTATACATTACAACACTTCCAATTCACATTCCTATTAAAACTACCCTTCACCTCTACCTACATTCTTAAAAAGTCCTTTACTGACTGATTATTCAAACTAATTATTTAAGTCATAATCCGACTCACTATATTTTTATAAAAATCTTACAATAATTTCTAAACGATTAAAACCCTAAATCAAAACTCATTTCATGAACAATAAGTTTCCTTTCAAAACTTCCCATTTACATTATGGTTTATTTTTTTACTAAAGCCGGCTACAAACGATCCGGCAGGCCTGTCAGTTTCAACTGAACAGTTCGCCTGAAGGCCGGTTGCCGGATGGACTGATGACCCTACACATGTTCAGGCGTATCTGATTCTTCAGTCTCAATCATCACGGCCTCTACTGACGACGACGCGTTATAAGCACTTTTTGATTTAGTACTAGTATACATATTTGTGAGAACAGTAGAGTTCGTACGAAAGATCGATTTCCTTCCATTTTTCTAACAGTTTCTTGCCATGGTCGTGGCAGTTTTTCAATTTGGCTCGCCGCAGGCACGACTCGCCATGATAAATAGCGATAAATTCCGCCAAACACCTATTTTCTATTCCGCGTGACATGGCGTAAGCTCACTACTCACTACTGAAACTATGTGAAATGATAGCCCAACAGTCCGACAGGCGGACAGTGCCATACACACGTTCCGACTTGCCTTTGGGTACGTGAGGCCGGCCGGATGAACGAACATATTTTTGATTTTTCTCCGGCCATCTGAACAGTCTTAACTGACAGATCGTCCGGAATATATACAAGCTCAGGCGACCGGCCTTCAGTCGGACTGTTCAGTTCGAACTGACAGGCCTGCCGGACCGTGTGTAGCCGGCTTAAGGATCAATTTAATCAGAAGAATTACTATTTTCGGATTCCTAGCCATCATACACAATTATTTAAATTCTTACTAGATAGTTACTATAGCCCTTAAACATCAATTGGACAATCCAATTCAAAATTCTTTAATTTCTTGAAACGTCATTATACTCGAAAGCAATTAAAGTTATGCAATAAAGTTTTTCCAGTCAAAATCACTCAAGTTTTTATGCATTAAGAGTCATTGTCAATTCACTTCTTATCATTCAGAATCATTGTTAAAAGTCAGAAAAACGAAAATAATCACTAAAGTACTACATTTAAATTGTCACTCGATAAAATACTTAATAGGCTCGTACAGCATTTTTTTTATTACATATTCTAAAGGAGCCTATTGAGTTTAGCAGTTGTGCAAAATTTCATAATTTTCCGAGCCCTTGTTCATATTTAATAGATATGTATCAAGGGAATTATGAGGGTATTAATACCCCAGGGCAAAGTTTGTGAGGGACACCAATTGCCCGTGGGTATTAACACCTGATAATTCCTGTGGTACATACATAGATAATTGTATATCATACTGGATTTACTGTATTTCGTCTATTTTTATGAAAGAAGAAACCATAAACCAAAATCAATATTTTTTTCTCTAAGTTTTACCTATTCAAGGTAAAAGCGGAAGTTATGGAAATCCTTAACTCCCTTGGGAGTTATGATATCCTTAACTCTCTTCCTTAACTCCCTTGGGAGTTATGAAATCCTTAAATCCCGCGCGAGAGTTAAGACCCTGTTTATGATTATCGTAACCAAGGTATTATATGATCATAATAGTTCAGTAGGATATAAATAAATTATCAAAACGTTCCAAATTAGAAACACGCGATGACGTCACTGCATCTCTCACGTTCGTTGTGGTGGTGCTGGTACCCCCGTCACTACGACATTTTTTAGTTTGGCACATAGAGGTTTGGCAATTTTTCTATCTGAGGTGGGTTCGGCTACCTCACTCCGTGCACTCCGAGTGACTCCATTCGCACTCCAGCCGTTCGGGTTAAGGTTCGGGTATTGCTTTTTACCGTATTAGGGGTGACTCCATTAGCTCTGTTCACTCCACTCCAACTCCGAGCTGAATAGCCGAACCCAGCTCTGGTAGAACGTCTATAGGTAGAACTGGATATTTTTCTTCCGAACGTATTAAAGCATATTTGATTAATTCCCTGACTTTCAATATTTTATGAGCTGAATTATGGAAGTAGCATGCAAAAAGTAAAATTATAGATAGTTCCGAAAACTCGGAAACTGTGTCCCAATTGACATTGCGTTATGCAAAACCGTGTGTGACGGCCTTTAGCCTGTCTCGACTCGAAAGATGACGTCAGACCATCTCTCAGCGATGAATTTCTGAGGCATAATGTTTTGATATTCGAAGACGCATAACTTTTTTAATATTTATCCAATTGAGCTGAATTTTTTTTGTGTGCTACATGTGACTAATACTCCATAAAAATATGAAAAAACGTGGTTGATGAAACTTCACTGCACGAGCCTATTAATTACTCAAAAATTTCTAGAGCTCGCACATAATATTGAACGCCTTTAAATGTTCTTTCTTTCACAATTTTCCGTACTTTTTCTAAGTTAAATTAAACCCGAGGCAAAAATAAAAGAAACTCTCGCGAATTTTTATCGGGACTGACACATTAGGTACTGTAGATTTTAACTCAAACTGGACTGAAATAACAACTCAACTGACAACTGACTTCTACTTCTAAAATCGCCTGTTTTATATTTTTTTCGATTCCCACCCAAAGTATCATTAATTATCCACCAAAATCGACAATAGGCGGTCGTTTGACCATCAATGAGTTAATTCTATTGGTCGACCTAGATATTATCAAAAGATGATGATGCAATCTATTTGAAATTTTTGTCATTTTTATTTGTTTAAAATCGAATAATCATGTCGCAATTTCCTGGTTTATAGGGGTCAACACTCATTGGTTCAAGAATGTGAGGACAACACAAAGAAGATCGACACACGTGAGCCATAAATCACCGATTTAATCACTATGGCCTCGCTTTTAATATTTTTAGGAATTTTAGATGATGACACTGGCTTGGTGACGAAATACCTAATATAATTTTGAACGTATTTGGGGTCAACGTTGATTTGTTTCATTTTCAATTTATTGATACTGATTTGAAATACCGGAAATTCAGTTTATGATTATTTGATTACATTTAATTTTTACAGTAAAGGCATTGTTAATATCGGGACTATTTTTTCGGATCATTACAAATTGTTCTCAGAGCTAGAAAATGTAGATTTCGAAGTTTTTCAATTCGTTTTTGGCAAGATTCTTTCTCAAAACTAGAAAGTGTGGATGTTCTGAGACTATCAAGTTAATTTTGTTCAAATTTGAAGCTCATAATCAAAACCTGGAAATTATTTAGAAGGTCTGGATTTAGTTTCAACAATGATTGGTTCTCAGAAGCAGAAAATGTAAATTTCAGAGTCTTTCAAGTCGTTTTAAGCAAGCCTGGAAAAAAACAAAAAAATTGAGTCATGAAAAGAGAAAATCTTTTTATGGGCCAAGAATCAAAAAAAACATTGAAGAAAACCTAATATTAAATGTTCCTTATTAATTTAATTTACAAGAAATTTCCATATTTCGCAAATCGAAACTCTATATGGAAGTTCAAACTTGAACTGTATTCGCAAAATTTGCATAGTTCCATTGTTGTACTCGCTTCATTTGAATTATAAAACTTACATTTTTCAATTCCAGATCCAAAAATGCAGCTTTAAACAACAGACACGCATATTTCCTTCTCGTAGACAACGGTACTGTAAGCAAATACGGAGCCGAAATTATCCTACGAAGAAGATTGGAAAAATACATATCAAAACAACGACTCTATCCTTGTAAGAATTTCCTTATCAATAAAACCTAAAATAATGTTTGTAAAATTTCTAGTCACTCAAAGCCCAATTCCAATAGTTTGCTTGGTAATTGAAGGCGGTACCAACACAATAAGGGCAGTACTGGAATACGTAACCGACGATCCACCAGTGCCTGTTGTAGTTTGCGATGGATCTGGAAGAGCTGCTGATCTCATAGCTTTTATGTGCAAGTAAGAATAATCTAGAATAATCTAAAATACACTTTACTATATAATTTTTTCCAGATATGAATGCTCAATGTTGAAAACAATGAAAGAATACATCATAGCAACAATTCAAAGAGCATTTGAAGTAGCAGCCGAGTTGGCTGACGGCCTGTTTAGTGAATTGATGATGTGTGTTGAAAATAAACATTTAGTAAGTACAAAATACATGATAAACTCAAACACAAACATCAATTTTTTTAGATTACAATCTTCAGAATAGCCGATAAATACGATCAAAAACCGCAAGAATTAGATCAAACCGTTTTGACTGCCCTTTTCAAATCCCAACACTTGTCGCCCACAGAACAACTGAGTTTGGCCTTAACTTGGAACCGAGCCGACATTGCCCGATCAGAAATTTTCATTTACGGCCAAGAATGGCCTCACGGAGCATTGGAAGATGCTATGATGAAAGCTTTGGAACACGATAGATGCGATTTCGTCAAATTACTGCTCGAAAACGGAGTCAGCATGCGTAAATTTTTAACGATACCAAGACTGGAAAATCTCTACAATTCGAAACAAGGGCCTAGCAATACTTTGCGGTATATTTTGAGGGATGTCAGGCCTCATATTCCTGCCGGATATGTTTATACTTTGCACGATATCGGCCTGGTTATTAATAAGTTAATGGGAGGTGCTTATAGGTAAATAATTGAATATTGTATTACTTAAAATTTGATTGTTTTTCTTGCAGGGCATTTTATACTAGACGCAAGTTCCGTCCCATTTACGCCAAAGTAATGAACAAAGGACAAAATATGACGATGAATGCGGCTTCGGCGCGACAATTCGGTGCTATGAGTCTATTGGCGGGGGCTTTGCCTTCTAGTGCTAATCCTTGTCTGTTCGATTATCCTTTCAACGAACTTTTGGTAAGATTCTAGCACTAATTCTAGTATACAATGATAGAGATTAGTAAATTGAAATTCTGGCCAGAGATATGGAATTTTCAAATTTTTCGCTTTTTGTACGTGTAGCGATCCACCCAAGTGTTTTATTTGATGTTAATTATTTCCTCGGGTTGCTACAAAATTAAGTGGTGAAGGGGGTCTATTTGCAAATGAGAGAAACAACTGTATAATAGTTTTCATACATATTTTATTAACTAAATCAGCACTATTAATTAGGAGAATTCAGCCTAAGAATATCAAAATCACTTTCAGTTACTTAGCACGCACAAACAAAAGAAAACTTGATACTACTTTATGATTCTCACTGGACAATAATCAATCGCAAACTTTGTTTTACCCGAGGCAAAAATAAAATAAAAAAAACTTTTTGGTGGAGACTCACTGCCAATTTTCTTGATTCTTAAAATCTTACTATCAAATCAACTGCTGAATGTTTTCTTTTCTGATTGTAACCTGCTTAAATAGTACTCAATTCCCACCAAAATTCTGTTACGTGGGCGGTCATTTAGCATTTCTCGAACCAATCCTCTTATTTGACCTCGTTTATCGAGTGATAAACGACATTGTTGTTTTCCAAGAATTGTTTTTACTTAGGAAATGATGCAACATCCGGCGGAAACACCGGTGTTGTAGTTTATCAATTATGACGCAATTAAATCACATGAGTATAGTGATTTCCGGTTAAACGCGTCCTAATTTTATAATCTTTTATCGATTTTTTTTTTTTTTTTTTTGTTTATCCGAATGTCGCAAGAGTCTATTAATTGGGGACATCGAACTCTGACATCCGGTCGCTTATCGCTTGTGTTGGTAAAAAAATTGTTATGTAATTTAAGTTGAGCTTAGAAATTTCGTCATTTTTTATTTATACTATTTTTGTACGGAATTAGATGCTGGAAAGCTAGGAGATTTAATAAGTTGAGATTAAATTATCTTGCAACTGACGTAGGTACTTTTCTAATTAAAATTACTACAAAAATGCTTTTACGAATTGAGTTAGTTATATTTTCTGGGATTTTAGCACCTCGAAATTTTTGGGGTCGCCACATATGTTTCAAAAATCTTAAACTTTTTTACAATTTTTAGAGTCTTCTCTCAAACGAGTAGATTGATGCAGAACTTATGGGTGGACCTCTGCGGGACGAGCGCAGCGAGTTTCGCAGTCATCTATTTATTCATACGTTGTTCCAATACGATACTAACTTGACTCACTCAAATGTCAGTTATTCTCATTAGTTCAAAAACTACACGTTTCAGGTCAGGACTTATCTGAATAGTTCAACAGTATATTGGTCAGTAGATGGCTGCGGAACTCGCTGCGCTCGTCCCGCAGAGGTCCACCCATAAGTTCCGCAATAATCCACTTATTTGTACTTGAACAATAACTTATTATATAAAGCCAAAATTTGTAAGATTATGATTATTCACTTTTTGTCAATTTGCCTTTCAACAGGAATTAGTAATGTTACTTTACCAAACTAGTAACATAATATGACAAGTTATTCAAGTACAAATGAGTGAATTGTTGCGGAACTTATAGGTGGACCTCTGCGGGACGAGCGCAGCGAGTTCCGCAGCCATCTATTCATCAATATATTGTTTAATTACGATATTAACCTGACTCACTTAAATGAAAGTTATTCTCATTAGTTTAAAAACTACACGTTTCAGGTGAATGTCTTATTTGAACAGTTCAACAGTATATTGGTGAATAGATGACTGCGGAACTCGCTGCGCTCGTCCCGCAGAGGTCCACCCATAAGTTCCGCAATAGTCCACTTATTTGTACAGGATGTTTTTCTATATATTTAAACCCAACTTACAGCCTTTACCTTTACAGCTAGAAGAAAGGTGTAAATACAAAAGTTTTACAGCTGTATGCAACATCCTCTTTTAACTTAAAAGCGCTTTTTAAAACTGGTTACTTTTAAAAATGTGTGTTCTAACGGCCAATTTCATATTAGAGAATTAAATGTTTCTTTAGCTAAATAGATTTAGGATAGGATTTTTCAACTTCAAATGGAGCTTTAAACTTAAAGTTTACTTTAAGTTGATTATAAAATTGGCTGTAAACCATACAAATTTTTAAAGGTACCAGTTTTAAAAAGCGCTTTTAAGTTAAAAGAGGATGTTGCATACAGCTGATACAGTTTTGGCTGAATTTTTAGAAACCATGGTCAGAAACAAAACTTGAATATCAGAAATGTGAAATTTTGCATGCTTCCAGGTTTTTTCAAAAAATAAGCATTTGATATTGTAGTATAACATACAATAACAAATAGGACCTACGTTGTGGAAACTTACTCAATTTTACTTACTGAACATGCGCCCGACAGCAAATATTTGGGAAATTTAAGGGAAGTTGTGATATGTAAAAGAAACGAAAAATTTATGGAACGTCTACTTTATTATTAAAGTAAATCGTACCGTTCTCGACCTGGTGTAGCAAAACGCCCCAAGTACTCTATGTAATTAGTTAGATGGTAAATGGCGAGCGGTATATTGATGGTGTTTATGTACTTGGAGCTGCTACCTAAAATCTGTGGAAGGGTCTATTTGCAAGAGAGAGAAACAAACTATTGAGGTGTACTAAATTATATTTTATTATACATAAAACCAAAAAATTTTAATCAGCCAAATATCTTCCAATTCTGACAGCCTCATCTATTTTTTCTAAAATTCAATTACTTCACATCCGTTCAAAAAATGTTATTATTACGGACCACTGAAATATCCCTACTAATAAAGGAACGCCCTATTCCTACTATTCCTAATAACTTATAAGTTAACTCATTTCAACACTTCCGATTCATTTCTATTAACTACCCTTCACCTATTTCTCTAAATTCTTTAAAATTTCTAAGTCCTTTAATGACTGCTTATGAAAAACCCAAAATAATTAGATACCTATTTGTTTATTAATATAGGTATTACTAACTTATTCTTATAAAACCATACAATAATTTCTACTTGAAAAATAAAAACCCTAACTCAAAATTCATTTCATGAACAATAAGTTCCTTTAACAACTTTCCAATATTTTAAGACAATTCTATTTCAAGAACATCAAGATTCTTTTCAAAATTTCCTATTCCATTTAATTAGAACAATTACTATTTTTCGCCATCCTGGCTAACATACAAAATTATTTAAATTCTTATTAATTCGTTACTATAGCCCTTAATCTTTAATTGGACAATCCAATTCAAAATTCTTCAATAATCCCTACTCAAATTCGATACTTTTTATGTTATATTAAATACATTATAAATTCCCTTCATATTGTTGGTGCAAAATGAAATTAGAATGTCATTATATCTGAAGGCAATTAAAGTTATGCAATAATGTTCCATTTATAAAACACTCGAGTTATTAATATTTATGCAATAAAGTTCCACAGTTGATTATAAAGACAAAAAGTTTTCCTAGTAGAATCACTCAAGTTTATAAAGTCAAAATGTTTTATTCTAGTAAAAATCACTCAAGTTTTTAGGCATTAAAAGTCATTTGTTAGTTCACTTCTTATCATTCAGAATCATTGATTAAAGTCAGAAAATTATTAAACACTAAAGTACTTACATTTAACTTTGCACACGTAAAATAACTTAATTAATTACTCATTTTTTTTTTAGCTAGCACGCACATAAATGTTGACGACTTTAATTGTTCTTTCTTTCATAATTTTTCCGCTACTTTTTCAAAAACTGTTACCGAGGCAATACAAGAAACTTTCCGGACTGACACTTTAGGTACTGTAGATTTTAACTCAAACTGGACAGGACTGCGAACTCATCTCTCAACTGACAATTTTTTCCACTTCTAAAACCGCGGTATTTATATTAAATCGATCCCCCCGCAAAGTATTATTAATTATCCCCCGAATCGTCAATAGGCGGTCGTTTGCCTAGCAATCCGAATTCCATTGGCCGACCTAAATATTATTAAAAATAATGATTCAATTTCCTTGAAATTTTGATCATTCTTAGTTTAAAAGAATCGAATAATTATGTCGCAATATCCTAATTTATCGAGGTCAATATATTTTGTTTTTTTTTTTTTTGGTTCAAGAATGCCATAAATCATTTATAATTACTTGGCCTCGCTCTTTTAAGTTCATTGATTTAGGAGATGACACAGGCTTGATGACGAAACACCTAATATAATATCAAACGTTAATTTGTTCCCTTTTCAATTTATTGATGCTGATTTGGAGATACCGGAAATTCTGTTTTTGATTATTTGACATTTATTAAATTTTTACAGTAAAGACATTGTGATTTATGGGTCTATTTCCTCGGAATAGTACACTGGAATTCTCGAGGGGAAAGAGAACGGCAGAGAAACCCTCGATCTAACATTCCTCGAAAATCGAAACATACTGTGTAATTTTAATAATAATTGTGAGTCATTAATTCAATAATTTAAGTCAATACAAGTTTAAATTAGGTACCGTCTTTGGTCTTTGTGCTAAAATTTTAATGACACACTCAACATTCAATCAACACTACCTATATTCAATACTGAAGAGTTTTTTTTTGTTAGTTAGCCAGTTTCCCAGCGGATACTGAGGTCCCATACGGGAAGCTACTCAGCTATAGTTGTTTTTGAGCCAATATCTCTAGATTGATTATTTCAATTTGTTAGGATATTCTCTCGTCAGGGTAGGAAAATGTTAGTTAATTCAACAAGGCTCTAATGCACGCTCTAAATCCACAAAATCAAAATCTCAGCACAAAAAGACAGCACATAATTTCTTAGGTTCTAATTTACTTCTTTATCTGTGTTGTTTACAGTATGAAACGATTTTTTTTAAATACATGAACAATGCACATGTTATAAAAAATGTTATAAACAAACAAAAAATACATAAAAATGAACAAAATAATAGAAACTTGCATAAATTGAACTCTCAAAAACAAAATAACATTTAATCCACTAACCTGTGAACGCTCCTTACACACACACTAATAACAAATTGGATTGAACAATCAATTTTAATGCAAAATAGAAATGAAAATTGAATAATGAATAATTACAGACACGCGTCTAAAGCAACAGCCCCAGCTTGTTCTCCAGTCTCTCTAATGCCTAATCGCCTCTTTTCTAGCTCCCGTTCGGTTTGGTACCCTCGTTTTCTGTGGCGCGCCCCGTTCAAACCTAAATTTGATGGCGCAGACATGGTTGCAACATTTACTTTTATTCAGTAACCGATTTTTAAAAGTTGAAGAAATAATATTTTAAATAGGTGGTTTTCCTCAATATTTAAATGGGATTTCCGTGTCTTGATTATACTCTTATATATTATATATAAATGGTCGATGTTAGGCCGATGGTTATATTCAAAAAACAAAGTACATTCTTGATTATGGTTATTCTGGATATAGGATGGTGAAAGTTAAACACCCTGTATCTCGAAAACTAGGCATAGGATCAAGTTGTGCCTATGGACACTTTCAATCAGAATGTAACATCATATCAAATTTTCAGATAAGATGACCGAATCCCAAAATACTATAAGTGTGCGGGGTCCGTTCTCTGTCTAAGCACAAAAATATTCCAAGTCAATTCACTCAAGATAATAATATTTATTGATAAAGTCAAAATCAAACTTGTCACTAGAGTACTTATATTTAAATATCGCCCTTGAAGTCACTTAATTATTCTAATTTCTTTTGATTATCAAGAGCTTGCATCGAGGGGTTAATCACTCCCCGAAATCGTGTCACAAATTCATCCGAAATCCTACCAAAATCCCCGAAATCCACGAAATCACTCCGAAATCCGCCGAAATCCCTCCGAAATCTGTCAGAAATCTTTCCGCAGAAATCACCTGATATTCTCCGAAATTACCCGAAATCACTCGAAATCACCCGAAATCAACCGAAATTCCTCAAAAACTCTCTAAATCCGAAATCTTGTCACGGTAAATAGTCCCTCGAAATCTTTCCGAAATCCTACCGAAATCCTTCAAAATCACCCAAAATCCCTCAGAATCGCTCTAAATCCAAAATCATGTCACATATTTCGCTTAGTGAATAACCCCTCGGCTTGCACATAATGTTGAACAAATTTAAATATTCTTTCTTTCACAATTTTCCAGACTTTTCCAACATTCGATTAAACGTGTTTTTCCCGAGGCAAAAATAAAAGAAACTCTTCGCGAATTTTATCCGGACTAGACTTTAACCCTTCCACCTACAACCTGGGTACATTTTGGACCCACACTCTGAATTTTTGGCATAATTTGTGAATTTGACAGGTTAGCGGAGCGCCACTTATAATAGCTGTTTATTATTGCAGTATACACGTGTATGCAGATTGTAGGTGATTTTGTTTAAATTATTTAATTTTTATTTACAATAATTGAGGAAGGGTACATTATGTACCCCGGTTTACTACAACCGGCAGAAAAACAAATTATTCTTGATTACTACTCTACAACAGGGGGTGTTGATACTTTGGATCAACTTATAATACATATATAACAACATATAATAATTATTATAATCATAGAAAAATTAATAAATAACAAATAATAAATTCTAGGACAGTTCTGTGTGCTATGGGAGGGTTTGGAATCTACATACCAAAGTTAGCGCCCGAACTTTTGTTTCTCAAAATTATGTTTTAATATATTTTTTTTTATTGTTTGAAGATGTTTCTCAAATGTGTATTTATTATTTATTTGATGATGGCATAACCTATTTCACTTAAACATTCACTTTGATCGTGGGGACAAAATGTACCCAGGTTATCAAAAAACGTGCAAAAAAAAGCTTGTAGGTCGAAGGGTTAAACTCAAAACTGGACTGCAGGCTGAAGACTGACAACTGGACTGAACTTAACTGATCCTCCACTTCTAAAACCGCTCATCATTCAATAACGTTTCTCTTTTATTTGTTTAAAATTGAATAATTATGTCGCAATTTCCTGGTTTATCGGGGTCAACAGATTTGGTTGTAAGAAGATGAGGACATCTAAATCAATAAATCAAAGAATGCCGATACACGTGTTAGACGTCTCGGCCATAACTTACCGATTTAATTACTTAAGCCTTGCTTTCAATATTTTTAGGAATTTGATTTAGATGATGACACCACGCTTGGTGACTAAATAATAAAATTTTGAACATATTTCAGATGTTTTAATTAATTTGGGGTCAACGTTATTTTGTTTCATTTTCAATTTATGGATACTGATTTGAAATACCGGAAATTACTTTTTCAAGATTCGATTTAACGCGTTTTCCCGAGGCAACAAAATAAATTTTATCCGGACTAACTCATTAATCTTACGGTAGACTCAAGACGCTGAACTAAAGACTGACTTAAGACTTGCCCCTTTTATACTATTATTTACCCACCACAATAGACAATATGGGCGGTCGTTTGACCATCTGTAATTCAATTCTATTGGTCAACGTAGATATTATTCCAAAAAATTCAACTTGCTCATCGGATAATGACGAAATCTGTGTCGAAATTGTATGATTATTTGGGGTCAATGAAACGGGAAAGATGTGAGGTGCATGCAGCATGAATAATGAATTTTAAAGAGAAATCCAATGATTGTTTTGTGTGATCTTTAATAGCAAATTTATGAATTATCCATCAAACTTTTGATGATCCATTATTGCAGATTTGGGCTGTATTAATGAAACGTCACAAAATGGCTCTACTAATGTGGCAGCACGGAGAAGAAGCCCTGGCCAAAGCCTTAGTCGGTTGCAAATTGTACAAAGCAATGGCCCACGAAGCGGCCGAAGACGACATGGAAACCGAAATCTACGAAGAATTACGAGCTTACGGCAAGGAATTCGAAAACATCGCCTTGGCAGTTTTGGATTATTGCTACAGACAAGACGACGATCAAACTCAGCAACTTCTAACTTGCGAACTTCAAAATTGGTCGGGGCAAACTTGTTTGAGTTTGGCTGTGGCGGCCAATCACAGAGCTTTACTGGCTCATCCTTGTTCGCAAATAATTTTAGCTGATTTATGGATGGGTGGCCTAAGAACTAGAAAAAATACTAATATTAAAGTAACTATATTGAATTTTTATGCAAATTAAATACTTATAGTATTGTTTTACAGGTTATTATGGGCCTTATATTTCCCTTTTACATATTCAGGCTTGAATTTAAATCGAAAGAAGAGCTACAATTGATGCCTCAAACAACTGAGGAACATTTGGAATTGGAAAATGAAGATGATGATAAGTCGGATTCGGAAAAGAATCCAGACGGAGAGGTAAATATTTATTTACTATAGAATTATCAATAATATACTTAGGTTGATTAAAAAATTAGTTACTAACGTTATTCTTGTAGCATAAGCATAGTAAAGCATCAGTAAGAAAACATTACATAAAATTTTATCCAGGCAAAGTAAGCATAGTGCTTGATTTATTTTTTTCTAGATTTATATTTGCACTTGTTGCACAGTTGTCCAAGGAGAGCTTTCATATATGCACTTATACACACTCAATGAATTAAGTTTAAATATAAAGTAATATTTTTCCATAATGGTGTATGGTCTTTTTTACTTTCAGCTTTCTGATTTATCTGATTTAAGGCGAATTTTTCCCAGTAAACACATCTAATATAAATTTGAGATAATTTTTCATGTCAAGTGTATGTAGGTAGTGTTAACGCAACATTATTTATAAATTTGGTTTCTTCTCATTTTTATTAAAGAATTACTTAAATGTCAATTTCGCGTAAAACACACAGGAGTGTATTTTCTACGACCCTGCGCCGACCGTTGAAGATTTGGATTTACACTACATACTAGATAAATGATGCTTCATACGCACGTTGCAATTTTTACCGGTTCCGTGTTTTACGCTCAAAAAGTCTTGCAGCTATATGCAACATCCTCTTTTAACTTAAAAGCGCTTTTTAAACTGGTAGATACCTTTAAAAATTTGTATGGCTTAGAATACACATTTTTAAAAGTGACCAGTTTTTAAAAGCGCTTTCAAGTTAAAAGAGAATGTTGCATAGAAAACCTAGGTGAGTGGTAATAACTGTTGTGTGTTTCGACAACCCTATGGTATCATTTTCATTTCTATTTCTATTTGTTTGCGCGATTTTCCAGACGCAGTCCAGTTTACTAAATTTCAAATACTATTGCGTAAACAGGTAGTATGTATCAGAATCTAAGCTTCAATATCTTGATATTCGTGAAAGATATTGTTCCAAAATTTTCAGCAATTGTAGCTCCTATTAGGGTCTAAAAAATCTGTATTGGAAAAGCTTTTCAGGTCTATAGTTTTTGAGAAAATTAAATTTGAAGTTTTTGACTAAAATTCATCTTTGCTTAAAAAGTATTTGAGCTATCCAACTCAATTTAGCACGGATTTATAGAGAATTTAATGCTTTTTCTGATAGTATATAATTTATTTTGATTTATTTAAATTTTAATGGAGATATTGGCAATGATTCAAAAAAAAATCAGGCTCAAAAAATTTTGATTTTTTTTTTCTCCTTATTTGGAAATGATTTTAGGGTTTTTTTTTCGACTAATTTAGAGTCGCTCTATCCTTTGGAAAAGTCAAAATTCCTGGATTCTGACATGATGCATTAAGATTTTACCTCATTGTAAATGTCTACCTCAACTTTATGTATAGTTGTGTTTACTGGGATAAAGTCTCTTGTGTTATTAGTATGTATAAACAATTAAATGCTTAATAATTATTATTGATTATAATTTGTTATAAATTTTAGAAGCGTACTAGAAGTTTGAGTATAAGAAGCAAGCCGCCTAATCCGACTGGTGTAAAGGTAGAGAGGGCTAGAATTTATTGTGTTGTTATTATGTATTTTACCTAAAGGGGTTTTTAAAACAAAATTTAAAAAATTTCATTAAAAACCTCACTAGGATTTGCTTATTTGTTTTGCACTTGTTCATGCTTTTTGTAATTTTTGTTTAAGAAACACAATACACCAAATTGGATATTTAATTGACATAATATAAACTTACTACACTATAATACTTTTTTGATAATATTGATTGTTGTATGTTGTAATAAGTTAAAATAATGAAATTATTTATAACAAAAAAAAAACGATTTCCAGGCCCTCCTTGCAGAAAACTTCTTAGCCAGAGAAGCGATAATCCATGAAAATGGGAAAATCATATCTGAATACGACGACAGCAACAAATACCATATATTTTTCACCGACGTTTACTCAGACAAAATGCCCAAGCAACGAGAATTGAGAGTCAAAAAGAAAATGTACGAATTTTTCACTGCACCTATTACCAAATTTTGGTCAAATTCGGTAAGAATTTTCAGTTTTCAAATAAAAAATTAATTAAAAACTATACTGTTTTAATTCCAGATTGCCTATTTGGTGTTCCTATTTCTGTTCAGTAACACAGTATTGGTAAAAATGAACGATATGCCTTCTTGGCAGGAATGGATGTCGATAGCTTTTATATGTTCCCTTGGCTGTGAAAAAATTCGGGAATTGTTTTCGTCAGAACCGGTGGGAATCACTCAGAAATTGGCCGTTTGGAGTTGGAACATGTGGAACCCTTGCGATATGGGTGCCGTCGTTATGTTTTTGATTGGAGCCACTTTAAGGTCGGTACATACTTCTTTGAATAAATCTGGAGCTCAGAAATACAATGATTTTTTTTCTAAGTCTGCACTAAAAATTCTTTGAAAATTTGGCCTAAATCTTCTTTAAGGGCCTCTGAAAAATACTTTCAGTAATCACAGCAATTTGAAACTACCAGGATTTGATAATTGGGGTATTTTCATTAAGCAAAATAAAATTTAATTGTGTAAATCTGAAACTCAAAAATAGAATAATGACGCTTTCTCTAAGACTGCACCAAAAATTCTCTGAAAATTTGTCCTAAATCTTCTTTAAGAGCCTCTGAAAAATACTTTCAGTAATCACAGCAATTTGAAAATTTCAGGATTTGATAATTGGGGTATTTTCATTAAGCGAAATAAATTTTAATCAAATCTGAGACTCAGAAATAGAATAATGACGTTTTTTCCAAGTCTGCACCAAAAATTCTTTGAAAATTTGTCTTAAATCCTCTTTGAGGGCCTCTGAAACATACTTTCAGTAATCACAGCAATTTGAAACTTTCAGGATTGATTTGATAATTGGGGTATTTTCATTAAGTTAAATAAATTTTGATTAAACCTATGACTCAGAAATAGAATAATGACGTTTTTTCCAAATCTGCACCAAAATTTCTTTGAAAATTTCTCCTAAATCCTCTTTAAGGGCCTCTGAAAAATCGCACAGCAATTTGAAACTTTTAGGATTTGATAATTAGGGTATTCACATTAAGCAAAATAAATTTTGAGTAAATCTAAAGCTCAGAAATGGAATAATGATTTTTTTTCCAAGTTTGCACCAAAAATTCTTTGAAATTTGTCTCAACTCCTTTTTAGGGGCCTCTGAAAAATAGTTTCAGTAATCACAGCAATTTGAAACTTTCAGGATTTGATAACTGGGGTATTTTCATTAAGCAAAATTAAATTTGATCAAATCTGAAACTCAGAAATAGAATAATGACGTTTTCTCTGAGTCTGCACCAAAAATTCTTTGAAAATTTGTCTTAAATCAAATTTCAGGACGTCTGAAAAATACTTTCAGTAATCAAAGTAATTTGCAACTTTCAGGATTTAATAATTGGGGATTTTCATTAGGCAAAATAAATTTTGAGTAAATCTGAGGCTCAGAAATAGAATAATGACGTTTTTTTCAAGTCTGCACCAAAAATTCTTTGAAAATTTGTCTTAAATCCTCTTAAGGGGCCTCTGAAAAATATTTTCAGTAATACAGCAATTTGAAACTTTCAGTATTTAATAATTGGGGCATTTTCATTAAGCATAATAAATTTTGAGTAAATCTGAGGCCCAGAAATAGAATAATGATTTTTTTTCCAAGTCGACACCAAAAATTTTTTGAAAATTTATCCTAAATCCTCTTTAAGGGTCTCTGAAAAATACTTTCAGAAATAACAGGAATTTGAAACAACCAGGATTTGAGAATTGGGGTATTTTCATTAAGCAAAATAAATTTTGTGTAAATCGGAAACTCAGAAATAGAATAATGACGTTTTCTCTAAGTCTGCACCAAAAATTCTCTGAAAATTTGTCTTAAATCCTTTTTGAGGACTTCTGAAAAATACTTTCAGTAATCACAGCAATTTGAAACTTTCAGGATTTGATAATTGGGGTATTTTTATCAAGCAAAATAAATTTTGTGTTAATCTGAGGCTCAGAAATAGAATAATGACGTTTTTTCCAAGTCTGCACCAAAAATTCTTTGACAATTTGTCTTAAATCCTCTTTAGGGGCCTCTGAAAAATACTTTCAGTAATCACAGCAATTTGAAACTTTCAGGATTTGAAAATTGGGTTATTTTCATTAAGCAAAATAAATTTTTATTAAATCTGAGGCTCAGAAATAGAATAATGACGTTTTTTCCAAGTCTGCACCAAAAATTCTTTGAAAATTTGTCTTAAATCCTTTTTAAGGGCCTCTGAAAAATACTTTCAGTAATCGCAGAAATTTTAAACTTTCAGGATTTTATAATTGAGGTATTTTCATTAAGCAAAATAAATTTTGAGTAAATCTGAGGCTCAGAAATGGAATAATGATTTTTTTTCCAAGTCTGTACCAAAAATTATTTGACAATTTGTCTTTAATCCTCTTTAGGGGCCTCTGAAAAATACAATTTGAAACTTTCAGGATTTGATAATTGGGTTATTTTCATTAAGGAAAATAAATTTTGAGTGAATCTGAGGCTCAGAAATAGAATAATGACGTTTTCTCTGAGTCTGCACCAAAATTTCTTTGAAAATTTGTCTTAAATCAAATTTCAGGACGTCTGAAAAATACTTTCAGTAATCAAAGTAATTTGAAACTTTCAGGATTTAATAATTGGGGATTTTCATTAGGCAAAATAAATTTTGAGTAAATCTGAGGCTCAGAAATAGAATAATGACGTTTTTTTCAAGTCTGCACCAAAAATTCTTTGAAAATTTGTCTTAAATCCTCTTAAGGGGCCTCTGAAAAATATTTTCAGTAATCACAGCAATTTGAAACTTTCAGTATTTAATAATTGGGGCATTTTCATTAAGCAAAATAAATTTTGAGTAAATCTGAGGCTCAGAAAGAGAATAATGACGTTTTTTCTAAGTCTGCACCAAAAATTCTTTGAAAATTTGTCCTAAATCCTCTTTAAGGGCCTCTGAAAAATACTTTCAGTAATCACAGCAATTTGAAACTTTCAAGATTTGATAATTGGGGTATTTTCATTGGGCAAAATAAATTTTAAGTAAATCTGAGGCTCAGGAATAGAATAATTACGTTTTTTCTAAGCCTGCACCAAAAATCCTTTGAAAATTTGTCTTAAATCCACTTTGAGGGCCTCTGAAAAATACTTTCACTAATCACAGCAATTTGAAACTTTCAGGATTTGATAATTGGGGTATTTTCATTAAGCGAAATAAATCTGAGGCTCAGAAATAGAATCATGACGTTTTTTCTAAGTTTGCACCAAAAATTTTTTGACAATTTGTCATAAATCCTCTTTAGGGGCCTCTGAAAAATACTTTCAGTAATCACAGCAATTTGAAACTCTCAGGATTTGATAATTGGGGTATTTTCATTAAGCATAATAAATTTTGAGTAAATCTGAGGCCCAGAAATAGAATAATGATTTTTTTTTCCAAGTCTGCACCAAAAATTCTTTGAAAATTTGTCTTAAATCCTCTTTAGGGTCCTCTGAAAAATACTTTCAGTAATCACAGCAATTTAAAACTTCCAGGATTTGATAATTGGGGTATTTCAATTAAGCGAAATAAATTTTGATCAAATCTGAGGCTCAGAAATAGAATAATGACGTTTTTTCTAAGCCAGCACCAAAAATCCTTTGAAAATTTGTCTTAAATCAACATTGAGGGCCTCTGCAAAATACTTTTAGTAATCACAGCAATTTGAAACTCTCAGGATTTGATAATTGGGGTATTTTCATTAAGCATAATAAATTTTGAGTAAATCTGAGGCCCAGAAATAGAATAATGATTTTTTTTTCCAAGTCTACACCAAAAATTTTTTGAAAATTTATCCTAAATCCTCTTTAAGGGTCTCTGAAAAATACTTTCAAAAATAACAGCAATTTGAAACTACCAGGATTTGAGAATTGGGGTATTTTCATCAAGCAAAATAAATTTTGAGTAAATTTGAGGCTCAGAAATAGAATAATGATTTTTGTTCTAAGTGTGCACCAAAATTTCTTCAAAAATTTGCACTAAATCCTCTTTAAAGGCCTCTGAAAAATACTTTCAGTAATCACAGCAATTTGAAACTTTCAGGATTTGATAATTGGGGTATTTTCATTAAGCAAAATAAATTTTGATTAAATCTGAGGCTCAGAAATAGAATAATGACGTTTTTTCCAAGTTTGCACCAAAAATTCTTTGATAATTTGTCTTAAATCCTTTTTAGGGGCCTCTGAAAAATACTTTCAGTAATCACAGCAATTTGAAGCTTTCAGGATTTGATAACTGGGGTATTTTCATTAAGCAAAATTAAATTTGATCAAATCTGAAACTCAGAAATAGAATAATGACGTTTTCTCTGAGTCTGCACCAAAAATTCTTTGAAAATTTGTCTTAAATCAAATTTCAGGACGTCTGAAAAATACTTTCAGTAATCAAAGTAATTTGAAACTTTCAGGATTTAATAATTGGGGATTTTCATTAGGCAAAATAAATTTTGAGTAAATCTGATGCTCAGAAATAGAATAATGACGTTTTTTCCAAGTCTGCACCAAAAATTCTTTGGAAATTTGTCCTAAATCCTCTTTAAGGGCCTCTGAAAAATACTTTTAGTAATCACAACAATTTTAAACTTTCAGGATTTTATAATTGAGGTATTTTCATTAAGCAAAATAAATTTTGAATAAATCTGAGGCTCAGAAATGGAATAATGATTTTTTTTCCAAGTCTGCACCAAAAATTATTTGACAATTTGTCTTAAATCCTCTTTAGGGGCCTCTGAAAAATACTTTCAGTAATCACAGCAATTTGAAACTTTCAGGATTTGATAATTGGGGTATTTTCATTAAGCAAAATAAATTTTGAGTAAATTTGAGATTCAGAAATAGAATAATGACGTTTTTTCTAAGTTTGTATCAAAAATTCTTTGACAATTTGTCTTAAATCCTCTTTAGGGGCCTCTGAAAAATAGTTTCAGTAATCACAGCAATTTGAAACTTTCAAGATTTGATAATTGGGGTATTTTCATAAAGCAAAATAAATTTTGTGTAAATCTGAAACTCAGAAATAGAATAATGACGTTTCCTCTAAGTCTGCACCAAAAACTCTCTGAAAATTTGTCTTAAATCCTCTTTGAGGGCCTCTAAAAATACTTTCAATAATCACAGCAATTTGAAACATCCAGGATTTGATAATTGGGTTATTTTCATTAAGCGAAATAAATTTTAATCAAATCTGTGACTCAGAAATAGAATAATGGCGTTTTTTCCAAATCTGCATCAAAAATTCTTTGAAAATTTCTCCTAAATCCTCTTTAAGGGCCTCTGGAAAATACTTTCAGTAATCACAGCAATTTGAAACTTTTAGGATTTGATAATTGGGGTATTTTCATTAAGCAAAATAAATTTTGAGTAAATCTGAGGCTCAGAAATAGAATAATGATTTTTTTCCACGTCTACACTAAAAATTCTTTCAAATTTGTCTTAAATCCTCTTTAGGGACCTCTGAAACATACTTTCAGTAATCACAGCAATTTGAAACTTTCAGGATTTGATAATTGGGGTATTTTCATTGAGCGAAATAAATTTTGATCAAATCTGAGACTCAGAAATAGAATAATGACGTTTTTTCCAAGTCTGCACCAAAAATTCTTTGAAAATTTCCCCTAAATCCTCTTTAAGAGCCTCTGAAAAATACTTTCAATAATTACAGCAATTTGAAACTTTCAGGATTTGGTAATGGAGGTATTTTCATTAAGCAAAATAAATTTTGAGTGAATCTGAGGCTCAAAAATAGAATAATGATTTTTTTTTCCAAGTCTGAACCAAAAATTCTTTGAAATTTGTCTTAAATCCTCTTTAAGGGCCTCTGAAAAATACTTTCAGTAATCACAGCAATTTGAAACTTTCAGTATTTAATAATTGGGGTATTTGCATTAAGCGAAATAAATTTTGAGTAAATCTGAGGCTCAGAAATAGAATAATGACGTTTTTTCCAAGTCTGCACCAAAAATTCTTTGGAAATTTGTCCTAAATCCTCTTTAAGGGCCTCTGAAAAATACTTTTAGTAATCACAACAATTTAAAACTTTCGGGATTTGATAATTGGGGTATTTTCATTAAGCAAAAAAAAATTTGAGTAAATCTGAGGCTTGGAAATAGAATAATGACGTTTTTCCTAAGTCTGCACCAAAAATTCTTTGAAAATTTGTCCTAAATCCTCTTCAAGGGCCTCTGAAAAATACTTTCAGTAATCACAGCAATTTGAAACTTTCAGGATTTGAAAATTGGGTTATTTTCATTAAGCAAAATAAATTTTTATTAAATCTGAGGCTCAGAAATAGAATAATGACGTTTTTTCCAAGTCTGCACCAAAAATTCTTTGAAAATTTGTCCTAAATCCTTTTTAAGGGCCTCTGAAAAATATTTTCAGTAATCACAGCAATTTGAAACTTTCAGGATTTGATGATTGGCGTATTTTCATTAAGAAAAATAAATTTTGAGTGAATCTGAGGCTCAGAAATAGAATAATGACGTTTTTTCCAAGTCTGCACCAAAAATTCTTTGAAAATTTGTCCTAAATCCTTTTTAAGGGCCTCTGAAAAATACTTCCAGTAATCACAGCAATTTGAAACTTTCAGGATTTGATAATTGGGGTATTTTCATTAGACAAATTACATTTTGAGTAAATCTTAGGCTCAGAAATAGAATAATGACGTTTTTTCTAAGTCTGCACCAAAAATTCTCTGAAAATTTGTCTCAAATCCTCTCTGAGGGCCTCTGAAACATACTAACAGTAATCACAGCAATTTGAAACTTTCAGGATTTGATAATTGGGGTATTTTCATTAAGTTAAATAAATTTTGATTAAACCTATGACTCAGAAATAGAATAATGACGTTTTTTCCAAATCTGCACCAAAATTTCTTTGAGAATTTCATACATCTGTCAAAACTGGTATTCCAACAATAAATTGACATGTTTTGATTGTTGATTTGCACCAATCAGATTGTAATTAAGCGATAATTTGCACTAGTGCAAATTATCAGATAATTGCATACTAACTGGTGCGAAAACTGGTGTTTTGACATTTTTTGACAAACAATTCAAATTTTTGATTTATGAAATTCTCTCATTCAATACAACTCGTGCAATGGAAATATATTTATAATTTTCGACAAATTTGCACTCATGCGTTTTAAACTGAAAAAGGCCCTCGTGCACTACGTGCACTCGTGCTCTTTTTCAACTAAAAATGCATTTGGGCAAATTTCCCAAAAATTATCAATAATTTCCATTGCACTAAGTTATATTACTATTGAAAATTTCTCCTAAATCCTCTTTAAGGGCCTCTGAAAAATACTTTCAGTAATCACAGCAATTTGAAACTTCCAGGATTTGATAATTGGGGTATTTCAATTAAGCGAAATAAATTTTGATCAAATCTGAGGCTCAGAAATAGAATAATGACGTTTTTTCTAAGCCTGCACCAAAAATTCTTTGAAAATTTGTCTTAAATCCTCTTTAGGGGCCTCTGAAAAATACTTTCAGTAATCACAGCAATTTGAAACTCTCAGGATTTGATAATTGGGGTATTTTCATTAAGCATAATAAATTTTGAGTAAATCTGAGGCCCAGAAATAGAATAATGATTTTTTTTCCAAGTCTACACCAAAAATTTTTTGAAAATTTATCCTAAATCCTCTTTAAGGGTCTCTGAAAAATACTTTCAAAAATAACAGCAATTTGAAACTACCAGGATTTGAGAATTGGGGTATTTTCATCAAGCAAAATAAATTTTGAGTAAATTTGAGGCTCAGAAATAGAATAATGATTTTTGTTCTAAGTGTGCACCAAAATTTCTTCAAAAATTTGCACTAAATCCTCTTTAAAGGCCTCTGAAAAATACTTTCAGTAATCACAGCAATTTGAAACTTTCAGGATTTGATAATTGGGGTATTTTCATTAAGCAAAATAAATTTTGAGTAAATCTGAGGCTCAGAAATAGAATAATGACGTTTTTTCCAAGTTTGCACCAAAAATTCTTTGACAATTTGTCTTAAATCCTCTTTAGAGGCCTCTGAAAAATACTTTTTGTAATCAGCAATTTGTTTCTTTCAGGATTTAATAATTGGGGTATTTTCATTAAGCAAAATAAATTTTGATTAAATCTGAGGCTCAGAAATAGAATAATGACGTTTTTTCCAAGTTTGCACCAAAAATTCTTTGACAATTTGTCTTAAATCCTTTTTAGGGGCCTCTGAAAAATACTTTCAGTAATCACAGCAATTTGAAACTTTCAGGATTTGATAACTGGGGTATTTTCATTAAGCAAAATTAAATTTGATCAAATCTGAAACTCAGAAATAGAATAATGACGTTTTCTCTGAGTCTGCACCAAAAATTCTTTGAAAATTTGTCTTAAATCAAATTTCAGGACGTCTGAAAAATACTTTCAGTAATCAAAGTAATTTGAAACTTTCAGGATTTAATAATTGGGGATTTTCATTAGGCAAAATAAATTTTGAGTAAATCTGAGGCTCAGAAATAGAATAATGACGTTTTTTTTCAAGTCTGCACCAAAAATTTTTTGAAAATTTATCCTAAATCCTCTTTAAGGGTCTCTGAAAAATACTTTCAGAAATAACAGGAATTTGAAACAACCAGGATTTGAGAATTGGGGTATTTTCATTAAGCAAAATAAATTTTGTGTAAATCGGAAACTCAGGAATAGAATAATGACGTTTTCTCTAAGTCTGCACCAAAAATTCTCTGAAAATTTGTCTTAAATCCTTTTTGAGGGCTTCTGAAAAATACTTTCAGTAATCACAGCAATTTGAAACTTTCAGGATTTGATAATTGGGGTATTTTCATCAAGCAAAATAAATTTTGATTAAATCTGAGGCTCAGAAATAGAATAATGATTTTTTTTCTAAGCCTGCACCAAAAATTCTTTGAAAATTTGTCTTAAATCCTCTTTGAGCGCCTCTGAAAAATATTTTCACTAATCACAGCAATTTTAAACTTCCAGGATTTGATAATTGGGGTATTTTTATTAAGCAAAATAAATTTTGAGTAAATCTGAGGCTCAGAAATAGAATATAATGACGTTTTTTCCAAGTCTGCACACAAAATTTTTTGAAATTTTTTTGGTTAAATTTTGTGACTGAAAAATACTTTCAGCAGATTGAAACTTTCAAAATCTATTGATTTTGAAATATTTTTATCAGATAAAACAAATTGAAAGTAAATCTGGAGGCTCAGAAATAGAGTTATAATGATTCTTTTTCAGAATTGCCAAACTTGATTTCAAGTTTGATTATCAATCTCAGAAGTAATAATTATTGAGTATCTAATTTTACTGTGTTGTTCTCCATAAAATATGGATTTCAAACAATGATGGAATCTTCCAGAAAATACAACTAATATTTGAAGATGCCTTTTATACTAAAATTATTATTTTCGATTTCAGATTCCAAAAAAGTACATTCGATGAAGGCAGAGTCATTTATTGCCTAAACAGTATTTACTGGTACTTAAGAATTCTCAATATTCTAAGCGTAAACAAATATTTAGGTCCATTGGTAACGATGATGGGCAAAATGGTGAAAAACATGATCTACTTCGTGGTTTTGTTGCTTATTGTTTTGATGAGCTTCGGAGTTTGTCGGCAAGCTATTTTGAACCCGAACGCCACTCCTCATTGGAAAATAGCTAGAGATGTACTTATATGCTTCAAATAACTAAAAAATAATATAACCAATTGATAATAATTTTAGGTATTTTTGGAACCATATTTTATGTTGTATGGTGAAGTATATGCTGACAAAATTGATCCAGAGTGTGGAGGACCTCATCAAGACGCTTGCGTTCCTGGTAGATGGGTTGCCCCAGCAATTATGTCCGTGTATCTTTTGGTAGCTAATATTTTACTCATCAATTTATTAATTGCTGTTTTTAACAATATATTCAATGAGGTATATGATTATTAAAAATAATTACAATTAAGCTAATTGTAGTTTTTTATAGGTCAATTCCGTTGCTCATCAAGTTTGGATGTTTCAAAGGTTCACCGTTGTCATGGAGTACGAACAAAAACCCCTTTTACCTCCACCATTTATTATTTTTTGCCACATATTTTTACTAATGAAATACATTAGACGAAAATTGGAAGGCAAAGAAGAAAGTTATGATAACGGGTTAAAGTTGTTTTTGGATCGGGACGAAATGGAACGGTCAGTATAAGAATTAAATTGTATTATTTGTAATAAATAAAGGACTTTATGTATAGGCTGTACGATTTTGAAGAGGATTGTGTGGAGGGTTATTTTGCCGAACAAGAAAATAAATTGCAACAATCTACTGAAGAAAGGATTAAAGTGACTACTGAAAGAATTGAACATCTTACACAGGTATATTAATGTTAAATTGAATTATAAATTGAATAATAATTTTTTGTTTTTGTAGAAAGTGGAAGATATTCATACGAAAGAAAACATGCAAACAACAGTTTTGCAAAACCTTGAAGTACGTTGCAGAAAATTCACTGAACAACTTACAGACATTACAAACGAATTTGAAATGATGAAACAATTAGTTCACAGGCAACAATTGAATCTTGTTACCCCACAAACGACACTAGTTGGTGAGTGAATAGTGCCACATATTTATATATTATTAATCAGAATTTTGAGATAAAACAAAATTGAATCATTAGATAGTTTTCGAGATATTAGGCCTCAAAGTTGAAGAAACTCTGTCTCAAATTTTTCTATTGATTATTATTGAAAAAAATTGAGTTACTTATCCTATGAGATTCATATTTTAATTATTCCTGGCTTTTGATTAGATAAGTTTTATTTCCCCATCAATCAAATTAAACCAAACTAATCCAATCAAGAGGCGGTAATAATCAAAAGGTATGATTATGGTATGATTTAGATTTTGGAAAACTTTTGGAAGGTTATAATTTTTTTTTATTATAGATAGAAAGTTGAAATTTTCAGCGATTCTTATCCCGGTAAGGGACTATAAACCTTGAAAATTTCAACTCATTTGGACTCATAGTTCCTGCGATAAAATCGTGTTAAGCAATTTGGGGTGATTTATCAATGTTTCAATTTTTCTGAGTACCTTTTTTCATAGATTTCGGCTTGAAATCTGAGAACAATTTAGTGTATGAAGTTTGGGGAATGTTATTTGACCATTAGGATACAAAATCTCAACACTTTTAACCCCACCACCTACCCCACTCCATCAAACTCCAAATTTCTAAAATGCTGCGTTAAGTTTTCCACCGCTGTTGTCAGGTTGTATGTTGGCGTCTCTTGCACATAGGCTAACCACATCTTGACTGGTATTGAAATGTTGAAACAGCTTTGCAAGCTTTAAGTAGGTACCTACTAAATTTGAATTGGTAGGGGAGTAAAAAAAAAAAAAAATATCAAGCTTATAATGTATTAATTTTTATTTTCCAATACAATTGTTAACAAATTCTTCACAAACATATGTTTCAACATCTGGTATTATACATGCAGTATAAAAATTCAACAATTTCATGACACAACAAGCATTTATATTATTTTGGTTTGTTGAAGCTGAAATAGTTTCATAAATATTTTTGTTCAAATCACAATTTTTCATAGAAACACTGCTATAGGTTTTTTACGTTATATTTAGGATGACGTCATGGAACCAGCAGAGACAATGTTGTCAATGCCGCTTTTATTTCTTAAAATTAAAGAAAATGTCATGTTTAAATTCTGTCGAACAAACGGAAAATGGAAGTGCTGTCACTGCTGTCAGCAGATATTTGTTTGTACACTGAAAAAAGAAATCCTCTGAACCAAGAGATTGACATTCAGCCAAAAGATTTTCGGATTTGAATAGGTCAAATGCGAAGTCTTTTGAACCAAATTCCTAATTCTCTTGAAAAAAGTCGCGATGTTTTTCTTATGGAAATAGCCCTTTCTCTTCAATAGCATTGAATATCTTGTGCCAAGAGCTTTCGGACTTGGCTCAAATGAAATGGTTGTTGTTTCAAGAGTGTAGTTTACTAATTTTTGGCCTGTAGCTTAGCCATCCTCAGCCATTTTTTCAATATTCAGATAAGATACCGTGAAATGAAAAATATAAAATAAAAATGATATTGAAAAACGAATTTATTAGACTATTACATAAATAGAAAAGTATTAAATAGGGTAGAACCAATTCAAGAATGGTACCATGGTTTCATTTCGACCCGTACGAAAGCCGCTATCACGATAGCGTACCAAATTGTCGGAGTTCTGACTGGTAGTGAGATTGTTGTTCTCGCGCCAAGAGCGAAAGACTGGAAATCTGAACGTTTTCTCTGGCGCTAAAAGACAGATCGTGCATCCGCTACCGTTCTTGTGAGAAGATCTTCCAAATGACGCGGTATTTTCCCAATAGCGTCAAGGATTTTGAATCAAAAGCTTTGGATATAAATTAAAAACTTTTATCTCTTGAATGGAATGCTTAATTCCCGCAATTTTGAAACAAGAGCTTTCGATTTTGTCTGCTGTGAAATACATCCAAGAATCGTTTTTACTTTAAGAAAGCCATTTCTCTTGTCCCAATATAAATGATCTTAATTCAAATAACATTCACTTGAAGCAAAATATTTTCTCTTGTCTACAGTAGATTGTAGATTTCTAGATTTGAAGATTGTGCGGGGGAGTCATTTCGGCTATTCAGCCGCTCAGCACTGCTACCCTTGCAGATATTTTGTACGTGACTCTACATCTTAAGTTGTCTTCAGGAAGCGTAGACTTCTGCCTAACGAAGCTATTTTCCTGGGTGTCAGCTGGCCCACTTCTTCTGATGACAGTGTTTTCCCCTCGAGGAATTTGAGACTTGCAGAATTGGGCTGGACATTCGTGCTGTGCGGTCTCTATTGCGTCTGAGCAGAATCTGCAGAGATTGTCTTCTGCTCTGCCCATTAACCTTAAATGGTATTTTACCAAGCAGTGTCCTGTGAGCAGTCCTACCACCAATCTGATGTCTAGTCTGCTTATGTTTAGGAGCTGTTCAGCTCTTTTCGCTGAAAGGGTAATAAACCTTTTTGTCTGCTTGTCTACAGTAAATGACGTTAAAAACCAGCTCAAGAGCGTTGGGGACTTTGGGCCAAGACCCTCTGTTTTTTCAGTGTATGTTTTACTGGTCACTGGTCACTATCGCTATCATCAGAACTATCATTGCCATTAAAATCAATTATAAGTGGTGGAATATCTACTCGATCAAATAAAACCTCTCTGTCCCACCAACGTTGTATTTCTTTTTCTGTATGTTCAACAGTTTTTGCCTATACTTCAGGAGTTGCTTGTTTTAGAGCTTCTTTCCACGTTTCTAGTGATTTTTCTGCTGAACTACCAAATTCTCCTATATGGTCCCTATAATAGTTCTTGGTGAAACCCCAAATATGTTCGATAGGGTTGAAAATACAATGGTATGGAGGCAAACGAAGAACGTGATGACCATATTTTTCAGCTAGCTCGTCGGCTTTGTACACTGGCTGTGGTTTATTTCTACAAAAAAAAAACAAAATGTTTAATAATTATTTAAACTTCTTTCAAACCTACGTCACCCTACGTTTTGACTAAATTCAATAATTGCTGTTTTAAAAAAGTGCTGTCAAAGTGAATATTATTTTCTTTGAGCCACATTTGAATATCAGCTTTCTTGGTTGCTGTTGTAGGGGCCTTATTCACCAAAGTGCTATGGTAACTAGCATTATCCATTATTATAGTTGAAGGTTCTTCCAAATTTATCAGCAGCTGATACTCAAACCACTGTAGAAAATTTTCTTGATTCATTTCCCCATAATAGTCAGCATCTCGAGTTTTTGAAGAAAATATCAATTCTGCACCAGGTATAAATCCTTTAGTGCAACCAGCGTGCAGAATAACATATCTAAAACAATAATTAAAAACAAATTAATTGTCAAAATTTTTGCCATAACAAAAGCTAAGAATATAGGATATAAAATTTAAAACAAAAACATATGCAGAAATTATCAATATAGCAATTTTCACTTAGGGAAGCAGTTGCGTAGGTAACTATATCAACAGCATTGTTCGATGGAAAACCCTATATGAAAATTTACCTTTTGCCACCAACTTTAGTCTTCTTTACACTTTTGGTACTTGAATCCTGCCAAGAACGACCAATAGTGCCATCTTGGAAAATCCATGTTTCATCAAGAAAAACAAACTGTCGCAAACCTCCATTTTTGAGTCGAACATATTCTCTCAAAAAGTTAACTCGTTTTAGAGCAATACTTGGCAATTCCATTAGCCCACGTCGTGGATCATCTTTGCTATAGTTGAAGCCAATATTTTTCACAATTTTCCATAATGATGTCAAGCAGCCACAAGCAATATCACGTTCAATTAGTTTATTTCGTAAGGTTTTCAAAGTAATATGTGTCTCTGAAATAATGTTAATAAAGATTTATTTGAATACCAACAAAATATAATTCAATTAGCTCTGTGCCATTTGCGCGAGGGAGAAAAGCGCGATACGAAAAGCGCGAGGGATAAAAGCGCGATGGAACAAAAACGCGACTGGACAAAAGCGCGAGGAACAAAAACGTGAGTGAAATACAGCAGGACGGTGTCTATAATTATCGGCGCGTTTCTGTTCCGTCGCGCCAACCCAAACTAACCGAGTTATTATCGGTAAGTTTGGAAATGTCTGACTAAAATTGCGAACTAACCGGGTTATTATGAGTAAGTTTGGAAACGTCTGACTGAAATTACAAACTAACCGGGTTTTTATGAGTAAGTTTTATAATGTCTTGAATTCCATTTGCATTTTTGTCCCTCGCGCTGTTATCCAGCCTTTTTATTTCAGTCGCGTTTTTGCCCATCGTGCTTTTGTCCTATCGCGTTTTTGTTCCATCACGCTTTTGTCCTTCGCGCAAACGTTTGTCGCTCAAATGACACAGAGCCAATTTAGTCACTCACTATTTTTATACATTTCGTAGATAACATTTCGGATTGCAATTTGATCAAACTCATCAATATTAACAACAGTTTTTGTGCGATTACGTTTTTTTGATGGACTTTTAGTGGTTCTCCTCTACGGCATTTCGCTGCAATGCTATTGACAGTACAACGGCTTAATTTTAATGCAGCTACAACTCGCTAAAAAGACATCATTTTATTAGAATCATAGAAAAATATTTTAATTTATACTTTCAAATAAATAGGTACCTATATAATAAAAATAGGTAATTTACTTACATCCCTCACAGCAGTAAGAGGCAAAAATGGTCCTCCATTATCGCGTTCCTGCTCGAAATACGATATTAGGTTTGCTACCATTTCCTGCGACTGACTCGACAAACCTTTAGGCATTTTCTGAGGTTACCTAGTTCACGCGTTACGAAAAAGTACCGAGTTCTTAGAAGAACTTTTTTAAACTGTATATTCTTGGCACTTAATTAAAATTAAGTATACAAAATAGTTAATAATAAATTGACAAAACCAGTGACAAGTAAAAATAATGAAATGAATCGACAGGCATTACATGAAAAAGTTTATATTTTTTTAAATATAAATCGTGCATCGTCTCGCGCCATTACCAAACAAAAACTTTTGAAATTCCCCTACTTTAAATGCG